AATAGAAAATTACAGAAAAACAAGTAAAAACACTTTACTGAGACACGGCCCACCTTTAAATGCCGTACATTATTTCGCTTAATACACTTGCTCATATAACAACTTTCCAAAATATGATCAAACTATTTCGAACATTGCGACCTGTAGATGGCAAGAAAGAAGAAAACAAGATGGACAGGCAAGCTTAGATCGATTCAGAAAATGATTCTGATGATAGACAATGGGTTTATCTCAATTTCTTCTTGGTGTTGCGTACATCTGCACAAATCACAAGTGGTGTAGGGAGCAGCAATGAACCAATAGGTGTACATATGTAGCATATAGATCTCTATACATTTATAAATTTGTTTTTTTTCGATTTGCAATGTACTTAAACTAGACATATACCAGTTAAATCCTTCTCAATATCCAAAGACGTAGTTTCGAAACGCCCAACTCTATGGACATCTTGAAAGTATTTGAAGGACTTAAAATCAATGAGATATTTGACTTTATTAAAGCGATTAGATTAGATTAACCATTTAGTCCGCCTTTAAAAAAAAAAGATCAACCGATAATCGTTGCTAAGATTGTTAATGCTCTACTTCTCCCAACAGTCCTCTCTTTATGGATACCAAATCCGTTAGTATAATTATCGCAATAATCACATTAATATTTAATATTAATCACTAAGCCCCAAAATAAATCTAAGCTTAGCTTCAATTCACTGATAAGATTAAAAGAACGCGCGCTAGCCTGAAAATTAGCGAAGCAACACATTCGTGCCAAATTTCAGATCGGTATCTGATGTGATTGCAGCGACAAACTGAAATCTTCCATACAGTTTTGAATTTGTTTTAATCTTTCAGTTCTTAGAAGACTTCCGCGCTTGTGTAGATGTGTTCATAGATTTGTGCACTTCCTTATTTAATAATCTTTATATAAAGTGTTATGATTATGAGTTTAGTTTTTTGTATGGTTCTCCCGCACTATGTATGCTACTTTGCTTACAGCCACCAATTTGCGATATCGTTTTTACTAATTTAAAGAACGTCAACGGATGGTCATTATACCACGAAATATCATGGATGGTTCAATACGAGTTACGTATCAAAGTCGACATCGAGAGCATCTCGTTTCGATAGAAGCGAAACTTTCTCTCCCTCTCTCTTTATCTCCCTCATTCTTTGCTGCAAGCATAAATATGATCCTAAGAAGAAAGAGTGGAAGAGATATCTTTGTGAAAAATGAGAATTTTTAATCTCAAAGTTCATGGTATTGGACTTCTTCTTCTTTTTCTGTAAGTCAACGAGTCAAGAACAGACGACTTGCTGAGTTGTATAAAAAAGGTCAACGTAAACACGAGGTTCTTTGTTTGAACCTTAATGAAGTTGATATGTATTACGCGTGCCACGACGTCCGACACGTAGCTAAAATTATTTTTATCTTCTCCGCGCTTCAACTAATTTCTTGTTTTGTTTTATTATCACGACTTTTGAAGCAAGATGTTCTGGAATTTTCCTGAATGAAAAATTTTCAAAAGCGCAGAAATATGTATTTCGTACGATCGTTTTGAATGAATTGCTCCATATTTTGAATTGAGAGTTAAGTGTGGTAGTATGAGCGTATGTACCTTGGATCAAAACGGTTATGAGTAGAATTTTCTAAGGAAGATTTGGCTTCTTTTGGAGACAAAAAATGTAGATTTACAATTCCATCCCTTAAGCGTTGATGAGACCGGTATGATTTCGAAAATTGGACGAAAAAGTTGTGAAATCAATTGGCTGCTTTTGAAACCCAAAGTAAATTAATTGATTACTTTTAAAAGGCTGGCGCATAGACAATCGTATAGGCAGGTCGCAGTTTCGCGGGTTCAGTGCCGTAGACTACATTTTGTGGAAAGCTATTGGGTTGACGGACGAGTTCTGTCACATCTTAAGCAAAACATTTGAATTTCATGTATTCCTTAGCAGTCGAAAGCCTGGATGCAGTGGAGATTACTTTTCAACCTGAATAGCAAAATGCGACTAACGCACAGATCGACGATGTCCTTTAAGACTGAAACTTTCCGTAACCAAAGTTGGTAAACCAATTATCTTTGGCAGCTTCGAACATTCGCGAGTTCACTTGCCAGCGTGTCATGCAAGTTTTTATAAGCAACCGTCTCGTTATTTCCTTTTTAAAACTCGTAACGAAAGCAATGTCTACAAAGCCGTTTATCCATTGCCCTTTATTCACCTCGCAGTTGTATAATAAGTCCCCACATCACACATTCTATTGGAAGGAAGTCGCTTTCTTTATTATGTGTAAATATTTTATCGAGAACAACAGAATTCAATAGGCTTAAACTGTCAGTGATCTCACGAACTGTCATTCGGAAGTTTATTGCAATTAATTCCTTTATTTTGTCTTTATCGGCTTCTATTGTCTTTCCAGAATGCGACGCAAAGTTGTCGAAGCGAAAGTAGCAAATCACTCATCGCTTCTGTTCGCATCGAAAAATGTTGTTGTCGCTCGAACAATATCTTTTCCCTACTAATATAAGCCAAGTACGCCGAAAATGGCACCTTCGACTTTTCATATTGGGTAAAGCACCAAATGGAAACTTTTGCGCAGAGTCAAACAAAATGTTTCCCGCACAAGCGTTACGATATCAACTATGAAAAATGTGAAAACAATGCGCCTTTAAGGTGAACTTGGCTGTAAAACAATGCTATTGAAGCCACCGTTGCGAAAAAAAGCGAAATCAATGAGTTTCCGAACCACCTAACATCTGATTACCTGGACCATACAAGTAAACTTAGCTCTGCATAATAAATACGGCAAACCTTTAATATCTTAAGCCTAAAATATTGCATAGCGTTTCCTTTATGTTTGCTTTTTGCTGTAATGTCACAGTTTAAACAGAGGCCCGAGACTTAAGTTCGCCGTCTCCTGTTAGTGCTTTAAGCTTAAAAATGTTGTAAAAAACTGTTTACTTTAAACTCAAGCTATATTACTTGGGTTGCTTACTTTGAATTTTGCTGGGTTTTTGATTGCTAATCAATCTCCTCTATATTTTCGTAATTTAAGCCTTTAACCTTAATAATGTTTTTTAATTCGGCTAAACGTATACTGTGTGTATGTTGTGTGAGTAGTATGGCGATGTTTTGGAGAAGCTGTCGCTAAGGCGAAATTAACGAATTTGAGATTTGCTGAAGTAACATATTTGTCACAAAATTCTATGGCGGAGTAATAGTAAGTTCACTCGAGTGGGGAAGGTATCACGTAACTGCAAGTTAACTATCGCTTGTTTATTAAAAACAGCTGAAAAAGAAAGCGAGAGTTTAATTTTTCAATATGTTATTACCCCCCTGAATGCGGGTATCACTTACGACATTCAATTACTACAAGAAATTAAAAAAGTGAAGTCAATGTACGTACAAAACAGGGAAAGTACACGCGGACGTTCCTGTCACCGCATTAGGATTTATGACAAAGGAAATGAATAGGTTAAAATTAACAAGTGAATGCAGGTGCTGCGCAATCAAATCTAAAACATCATCAATTGTTTCAGCAATTTCAAGTTTAAATGCATTGAAACAATAATAGTGGCATTTAATCATTCATTTATTAACAGTTGCAAATGTACACGCTACAGCCAAATGTGCTAGTATTAGGACAAAAAGGAATATAGCCGTTATAGATCACATTAACGATTCATATAACTTGTTAATCTAATGCATGCATAAGTTACGAAGCGCAGTGAACAGGGATAATATAACAGGTTCGTAAACCAGAAAAAGCATAATTTTGCTAATGAAAATTTATGATATAATTCGGATTGGTTAAACGATTCCAAAAAACAAAATGTTTTCATCTGCCACGACCCATCGTTAAATATCCTACAGCACTTCCTTTAATGCAGTTATTCACGTAGCGGCTATATAAAATAACACGCTATCTGACCCAAAGCGATTTCAATTGCCTTCGTGTCTGGGCCAAGACATGTCAATGTATAAAATTTCATCAAATTTCTCAAAAACTGCAATTTATAGGTTGAATAAAAGTATACATGGATAAACAACCGACGGACATAGGGACAGACAGGCTTCGAACAAATCAGAATGATATGAGCTTAGATCGATTCAGAATCACTTTCAGTATAAAAAAAGGTGGATCTATGTTAAGTTTCTTCCAGGTATTATATAGATCCATTTTAATATCTAGAATTAATATAGCCTTGTTCGATATAACAAAGGATACCTAAGCTAATTTTTTTCGTACTTTTTTCTTTATATACTTACGCGTTATCATTTTCGACCCTTGAGCTTTTCAGTTAGGCTAACATATCTCCATCAAAATAGCGGAAAATTTAATAACAATAAATTAACTATAGCTTGAAGCGACGTTGTATCGCACTTTATGTAGAATTCGGATAAAGAATTCATTTCACATTACGCTTTCGCAAATCATATAAACACATGCCGTTTTTTCCCCCGATTAGAATGATTGTATTCATCAGTCAAGTGAAAACTTGGCAACATTCATGTAGCTTAGCGTCTTCGATGCCGTTCTGCATCGAATAGATTCAATTCTGTATAGAATTTCATTTGTACTGCGAATTCTGCATAGAGTGCAGTAAAACCGTTATTATTATAAGCATTTTTTGAGCAACTGACGTGGGCTAAAGTAAAACGGTAGGTAACTATTTACAGTTAATAAAATAGTTAACTGATAAAATAGTTTTTGAAATTCGAGCAAAGTACAAAGTTGCTTAACGGCAATTATGGCACACGTCAGTAATGATAATACACGATCGGGGGGAAAAGTTAATGGTATTTTCTTTCTTGGTAACGAACGATTGCAATGAGATTGCGCAGAGATTACTTAACTAATTATGCTTGAAGCCTTGTAGCAAAAAGAAAATAAATTTATGTACATACTCGTTTTATTTAAAAAATTCTCTTTCAAAGCAGATTTTTTTTGGGAAAACAAGAAAGACGTTTATTTATTAAATTTATGTTTTGTTACTTTTACAGAAAACTAAAAAGAAAAATTAATGGATAATGGCGTGTTTTTGCGAAGTAATTGGATTTGCCTGCCTTGTGGCTTTGCTAATGAGCTTTTCGAATAAAGCACCTTATCAGTTAAAATTGGCAATATTTGCAATTGGATCAGGGGCTATTGTATTAGTGTGTATGCCATTTATGATATTTCGTCCCAAAGATTATCGTAATGCTTTGTATGTATATTCAAAACCTGTATTAACAATAATTGCTATAATTTAATAATAATAATATGGGTATAAAATTTGTGAAAATAATAGAATACCGGCTTGGTCCTGCCGACAACTATGTAAAGCTTTGGGAGTTACTATGGAAGTTAGAGGTTTAGAAAACATACGCAAAGATTCTGGCGGAGTGGTACTTATAAATCATCAAAGTTGTCTAGACTTGTGTGGTAAATATATTTTAAATGTAAAATATATATATATATATATTTTTTTTTTTGCAATTAAATATTTTCTTTGCTTTTCTTTTAGTTTTAGCTTATTTATGGCCAGTGGTGGGTCGAGCTACTGTAGTTGCTAAAAGGGAAATTTTATATTTACCCTTTTTCGGTATAGGGTCATGGATGTGGGGTACACTGTTTATAAATCGTTCACGCAAACATGACTCTATTAACGCTTTGCAAAAAGAGTCGAAAGCCATAAATGAGCGAAATTGTAAATTATTGCTCTTCCCCGAGGGTACTCGTAATTCCTTAGAGACCTTATTGCCCTTCAAGAAGGGCTCCTTCCACATAGCTGTCCAGAGCCAATGTCCAATACAACCTGTAGTAGTATCAAAATATTGGTTTTTGAATGCCGAAAATAAGACATTCCGGCAAGGTCATGTCCTCATACAAATATTACCGGAAATATCAGCCGCTGGTTATACTAAAGACGAAATAGATTCTCTAATTGAAGAAACCCATAATGTCATGCAAGCGGAATATTGTAAACTTAGCCAAGAAGCGAAGGCGATTAATTCCAAAAAACGTGTTTAATTTTAGTATATAAATAGTTTTACTCAGGTATGACCGAACACAAAAAATCCTTGTTACCTACAGGCAAACAACACACCAACTGATGATACATGTTTGAATATGCAAATGTCAATTTTTGTGATGGTTAATTGGTTAACGATAATTAATATTACCAAATATTTTAAGTTTTTTTTTTTTTTTTTCACCAGTGCTCTGGTTGGTTAGAAGTCAATCTAAATAAAATTTCTCAAGAAGATGAAGAGCAGAAATAAAGAGTAAAAATTAAATAATTCAAAGCAATGTATCTGCGCCCTGTTGTTTGATCTTTAAAATGATATTAGGATAAAATATTTCTTTTATAATAGAAATAAAATTTAAGAAAACAAAAACAATAGTAAATTTAACTAAAAATTTATTAATGAAGAAGAATGCAATAAAATTCTTTACAAATAAGATAATTCAAATGATGGAATATACTTTCAATCTCGACGTTCGTTAGTAAGTTATTTAAAGAAAACTATTATAGCCATCCCTGTTCTATAACATTGTGGAGGTATGGCCGGCTTTTCTATTTTTAAGAATAAGAGTGAAAATTCACTTACACCAAGTATCTGTTAGATTTTATAAGTACCGAGCAAAAAACATGGAAAGCAAAAGTTTTTAATTCATAGGCATGTTGGCACTGTAGATGTAGATGTGTGTTTTGATCATTTTCAAATTCTTTTACAATTTGTAGGCGATGCATTAATTTTTGCGAATGAGCAAATGTTGACTACAAAAATACACAGGTAAGTAGAAAACTAGGTGGATAGTCGAGCAGACGGACATGCTTAGGTGTATTCAGGACTTTGTGCTGATCAAGAATGTATTTACTTTATAGGGTTTTTGAATCGTGCTCGCCGATGTTGTAAAGGTTTTGACAAAAAAATTAAATTTTGATACACTATAATGGCGTCGTCCATAGAATATACGTTGAAATTTTTATGGATTTGAGCAAAAAACCAATTTTTTTTCTTGTTGGAAAACAGAGATGTTCTCCATTTACTGGAAGCGTATCAAAGCAAACAAAAGGCAGTAGTTAAAAGTACTAATCCCTATGTGGAAGAATTGAACACAATAATTATTAATTATTATTATAATTATTTCATAGTAAAAAGAAAATAAATCAGATACCGTATATTTTTTCTTAAGAAATTCTTCCCGCATTATTGCATAATTTTTAATTTGAACAAAAAAAAAATTACGTACAAACACAATTTGTCTCTTATCAAACCGTAATGAATTTTTTTCCTAACGCCATTCACAAAACTAAATCTGCGTTTCTTGTGCACATTTTTTCTGTTATTGAGGAAATAAGGGATACCAGAATCTCAGCGACGTTCGGTGTTTCTGTTCAGCTGAGCGTTTAGCAAAAAAGGAATGTAAGAAACATGTTGCAGCCGGAAAGGCAGATGTTAAGGAGAACAAGGAAAAGGTTAATCCAAAGGAAATGTTCCTCAAAGCAAGCGATAAATATTCACGATTTGATGAAAACGTAAGTGTGACATAAGAAAGCAAATTGTCAATCTCAGTGCTTGAAATCCTTGTGTTCCTCCTAAATTCTAGGGCTCACCAACCCATGATAAAGATGGCAACAAGATTAGCGCAAACCAATTGAAAAAGTTACAGAAATTGCAAGTTCAACAAGAGCAACGTCATAATGCATACTTGGATTCTTTAGTTAACGCTTGATAAAATGAATTTTCTTTTGTCAGTTTTGCATTTTGTATATTTCCACCATTTTTTTTTTGTTTAAATAAAATAAAAGTGAAATAAAGCAATCAATAATTGGAAGAGCATAACTATTTTGTTTGAACTTTCCAAAAACATAGTTTTCGATCACAAGCAGCTGCTACATAAGGCAAGCGTTGATGCCAAGACAAACCAGCACATGATTTTAAAGGAGCTTCGATCAACGGCACTGTGAAATTAGCAGTGAAGATTTTAAGTGTTTAAGTGTTATGTCTGGTCTGCCGATACTGGCCGTTACATTCTCAGAACTTGGAGAAATACGCAAACATCGTCCCCCATCCTCGTGTACCGGCTTCACGTTTTTCGGCGACCAAGGTCTCCGCGACATGTCGAACGTTACAATTTCCCTCCAGATAAAGCAGTAATAATGCGATAATTATTGAAAGACCAATCAGCAGTCAATAATGGAATTTTTGGACATTCAACAGATATAACAGACTGCTGTGAACGTACATTGTACATATGTATGACACCCTTTTTTTCGGCTACCATCACCTCATTGGGTCGTCAGGATGCCACTTTACCGACATGCCAGCCGATGACAAACAAAATGTAATGATGTTATCATAGTTTGATTCAGAACACCAGATTTTGCACGAATTGTCATCACTTACTGATGCCAAAAATTCGCATTCATTACTCCAGCTAATCTCGTTAACATAGTTGGTATGACCTTTTAATATTTGTACTGTGTCTGAATTTTGAAGATCTGTACGAAATATTCGAAGCAAGAAATCTGAGCCTGCTGCACAGAATGTTACATTTTTTGGTATAATCATAAGTGAAGTATCGGGGATAAAACACAAAGCATGGCAACGGGTTTCATGGTAAATATCTTTTACTTTCTCCCAAAAAAATGATTCACTTTCCGTTTCTTCCTGTTTAAAGGAAAAGAGATAAACAATTTGCCTCTGAAAAACAATCCTATGTCATAGTTACCGGGAAGCGCACAAAGCCTAATATAAGTTTTTCATGTGCTGCTATGCACAGAAAGAAAAAATGTATATGTATCAAATGTATCAAAAATATGCATTCATCTCCCATTGTACGTCTCCTCAATAGTTTTATACAATTTTTATAGGCGTGGCATTCGATTTTACCCTATTTTCAAAAAAAAATGATAATTCGATTTTACCCTATTTTCAAAAAAAAATAATAATTCGATTTTACCCTATTTTCAAAAAAAAAAATGATAATTCGATTTTACCCTATTTTCAAAAAAAAAATGATAATTCGATTTTACCCTATTAGAAGGTTTATTTTAGAGATTTCATTTAGGGGAAAAAATTGATTAAAATTTAAAAATAAGGGATAAGAAACAATTGTAATTATTTAAAAGACAGATTTTTTTTTTAAATAAGCAATTTAGATCCCGGAGGCGGGTATAATTTTTTAGAAATATCAACAAATATCGCTTGGCATGCTACGAATCATTTTCATACATATTTTATCATAAGCGTAGTTGCTCATGAGTCCATAAATTATTTTGATCTACCAAGGATTAAAAGCCATTTTATATTTGGCAGGCGCAATTTTTTTAAATTTATCGTTTTTTTTGCTGAACGATGAGTTTTCGAATTGCGCGTATTTGCTGCATTTGAAATATATTTGATGGACAAAATTGCACCATCAAGATGAAAGTTGTTTATGCGAACAAATTGTCAAGCACACGCAATATAAAGATTCGAAGATACTATTTTTAAAAAAAGTTTGTGTCCCAAAACATATTTGCGTGCCCAAACATTAATACTATCAAATACGCTGTAAATGGTTGTTGGTTGTCTTGGCGAGTTTTTGATGCAACAGTAGGAATGGCGTGAATTGACGGTTGTTGTTGTATTATCATTATCATTAATACTTATTAGTATTTATTACTATTGATTACTAAACTAAACATTAGCTAACTGAACTTAATATTTATCAAAATTTTCTGGCACTCTGCGCCATATACTTCTCAATAGCAGTAGCAACGCTGCTAATTAGTAGCTATTCGATTGCTTATTCTGTCGTTGTCAGTATTTGTAATCAAAACTTCTATAGAAGGTTTCTTGTTACGACGCCAAGTTCTATTATTTATTTACAAAGCTAAGGGCACAAATATGAGTTTCCATGCTAAAAAATAACCCAAAGGTGATGTTAAAAAATTTAATTTCTTCCGGTTACCTCGCTTTGTTTTTATAGTCAAATGATTTAATAAATTTCAGTGACAATTTTCTATCGAAATATGGTTTCGTTTAATATGGTATGTTTGCATATTGTACTGTGACTGCACATCGCTGTGGATATGAGTCCACTTGAAGTGTACCACACACCAAAATACTGGGTAAAATTTATTAACAAAATAAAACAACAAAGTATGAAACACTTCATAAAGCTTTGATTCGCATTTCCCAATAACCCAATTTTTAAACAAATGTAAAGAATGCAATTCGAAGCTAAGCGCCCCCATTTCCAATTACGCTGACCACAGCATAAATAACTTGTCCATACACTTAAGCAGAAAACTAAGAAGCTAGAAAATAAGTATAAATAAAAGAAGATGAATAAAGAAAGAATGATTCGAGATATTTAATCATAACTGTAGCATTTCATTCGCTTGGTGCTAGCCAAGAACTCCTCTAGCCGATCTGGCGAGATAAAGAGAAATGAAGATTTGGCGCTATCAGGCCGAACAGCTACGTCACACTCATAAAGAATCCTGCGTAGTTTCTATAAGAGGAGACTTTGCAAGCATATATTCATTGCTTATAGCTACTATCAACATTATAACCTTACAATATATATTTATTTAACATATTCCATGCAATTACAGCCGCCAAATCTAAAGTATTTGGGGTAATTGCGTTATCTATGTACATGTTTTACACAAAAGAAATCTACATGTTCCATTTTATACGATTCTAAAAAGTATTCGGTTATTTCAGAATTTCACATACGGTTTAATGGGGCAATTGCGTAATCGAAGTTAATAAAAACAAATATACACAGGCGCCCTCAATAGTTTAGAAATTGAGATAACCTCGGAAGAACACCGACAATTTTCATATTTTCATCTACAATCTTCGATAGTTCGGATAGTCTGCTGTCCAAATTTTCGCCAGACCCGCTTGCTTGTCGGATCCAAAAACAATCGTAACGTCTTTATTAATACGTTGACAATTAAAGCTACAATTTTAATTCTAATTTATTATCAATTAGCTTTTTATTGGGTGGAGAATGCGATAACGTATGTTAGAACCTTGCTACAACTGCTACAACGATTTACATCGTCTAACCCGATATTTATAGTGTGATTATTGGCACTGATTTTTATCCATTACTTAGTTATGTGCAATTATAAATGACGCAGCCTCGATCCCCATCAAATCGTTGACCGCGTTATATGCTTTTAGGAAGACCTCCATTCCATCCTCTAACATTCTTAGCTCTTATTGATATTATAGAAGTTATGTGTTTTCATTTGCGGTGATATTTTTCCCCTCCATGCCTAGCAATACGGTCTTGAGAGCGAATTTTTTTTATTGGTGATTGGCAAAATTTTCCTCCTTAAATAACAGAGTAAAATCTTCAATATTTCAATTTTACTTTTATATATACATGAAAACTGAAATAAAAATTAAAAATTTACATTAAACACTTAACGCACTTCTTTTGTTTTGTAACTGTGCTTTTTATTTTTTATAAATGCATAAAGTAACGGTATAATAACATATGCCTTTCGTTTACGATTGGTATGATTGCCTTTATCCCTAAAGAAAAACTTGGTATTACACGGCTATACAAAATGCATGAATTCAACTTGAGATGACAACGCATTTGGAGGATGTAAATGCATTCATTACTATTCAGCGTTATAATTTTCTTTGATTTAATATCAGTACTAGAAAAAAAAGTTAGTATTATTGTTTGGCCATTTACGATGTGTACGCAAACACGGCCAAAGCACAAGTGGTTCGAATAAAGATCTAGCATTGCGTTCCAGTTCGGCTTGTTATTTTCAAATCGAATCTTGTCTTGCTTTCGTCAATTTTTTATCTTTGATTCCGAACTGAATTCTGATTCATTGGATTTTTGTTGTAAAAAATTTCAATTTCAGTTTTTTGAGCAAGAAAAAGAAAATATAAAAAAATCATTGAATCCATCGACGTATTTGCTGAATAATAGAAGAAGAAGAAGATTGCACTTCAGAATTTTGTTTTGAAAAAACAATTTTGTTCTCGGATCAGGAAGAAATATCCTTATTTCCTGATAGATGACTCTTTTTAAATGTTACGCTGAACTGCGATAAAAAACCCTGTGAAGGTGTGCAACCGTCACGCCTTAATAACTCATCGATAATTGAAATTTAAAATTCAATAAGAAATCTTCTCAAAAGAGCAAACAAAAACAAAATAAGTGACTGTTTATATAACATAGCTGGTACACAAAGTGCTTTATGTCCAAATAAACAAAGATAGCAACTGAAATATCTGAAAAAGTGAAATATTGCTATTTGGGAAAAGGAACAACGTTACATCCCACTGCGGAACTCATCTCACTCAAAGAACACCACTACATATTCCGACACCATTCCATTTCATAATTTCACTGTTTGTCAGCTCTAAATACCCAAAACTCTATCTGCGAAATAAAGTTTGGACACAAGGCCGCATCACCTCCCTTGAAACTACGGACATTAAAATCGCCTAGGCCAGAGGTTATGCCCACGCCAGATGTGAGTATTGTGTATTTATCCAATCCAGAAATAATGCTTTGCCAATAATTGAACTTGGTCGAAAAAAAGTTACATTGATCATGCGGCTACGGCACATTCTATCAATTCTATCAATTGCGGTCTATGTATAGCGCTAACGCGCCGCAATACATTAATACATTAATCAAAGAATATGCAACAGATCGCACCAAGATAAATATGAGGTGATTTCAGTCAACATAGTTACGCTTGCGGGGAGTATATAATGCTCGTTTAGCTTGCTGCTGTCTTCTTTACCCAGGCCTTGCTCACAACCATTTATTTTCAATTTTTTTTGATGTAAGTTTTTTTGGGGTAATTTTTTTTGGTGTAAGTTTTTGTACACCTAATCTAAGTTCACTGAGTACCTGGACGACCCTTAAGGACACCATCGTCTAATCAAAATTGGTCTTCATTTGCACCCTATTACCGTTGCCATAGTATGTTAAACCCGCTCCCAAGTTTGTTAAACCCGCTTTGCTTACTTCCCTAAAATTAGTTTACGATCCGTAGCATTTTTAAAACCATCCCAACGGATGATCGATGATTCTTCGAGTTGTTTCTTTGGTAGGTTCTCAAAGTCTTTTACTGATGCTCCGAACCGAAAGTTTGCTAAAAAATTCTACCCTCCTAATCATTTGTGGAACACCGCATACGATCGAATCACAACTAAACTTCGATTCGCTGTAAATAAATACGAAAGATCTGCTTCTAGAATAAATTTCAATTTTTTAGCCAATATTAGAAAGGAATTTAACTATACTCTCAGGCTGGGCAAACGTAAAGGTTGGAAACAATTTTGTGAAAACGTACGCAGTGACATGTCAACCTCAGATCTTTGGCGCATTGGCAGAATTTTCAGAGGTGTCACTTCCTCTCGTTGTTTCATACCCTCACAACTCTTTAACGAATTCCGTGACAAGCTTGTTGGCCTTCTGATCCTGTAATCCCCTCTGTTTCACTTGATGAGGACAGTGATAATTGTTTCGTAAATGACATATCTCTCCCTGAACTCGATAAAGCCATTAATTTCTCAAAGGACTCAGCTCCGAACTTACACGGTATTCGCAACAACCAGCCCAAAATCTTGCCTTAGTTTCCACCTCTAGAAATATTTTCGAGAAAGTGTTACACTCTCGTCTAGAACGGTATCTTGAGTCCAAGTATATCCTTAGCAATCTTCAAATTGGTTTTAGACGTTACCGATCTGCCCAAGACAACATTGTCAGTTTGCGGTCAGCAATAAACTTAGCGTTTGCTTTTACGTTTGCACACTCTCATTGCCTGCTTTCTGAAAACGACCGCAACGTGTGATTCTGTCAATATCAACACCTTAAAATCCGAATTGTGTAATTTATGTATTTGATGTATTCAGGCCCTCTTTGTTTCAATTTATGTATTAACAAAATTTTCAGTTTTCTTCCTGAAAACATCTCATTTCTGGACTTTACTGTCGACACTGTCATTCTTAGTTTCAACTTTCATCCAGATTTATGTAGGCGCAATTTGCAATCTGGCCTCGACATTACTTCCTCTTGCCTCACTTTCAGTCAACAATGATTGATATTTTCAAAATAAATTAGGGATCCTACGGTTAACAGCTTACTTCGCAATCCTTTCCTTTTTTAAATTATATCATCATGACAAACAAACGTTTACATTGAATTTATGCACCTACTTTCTTTTACATTTAATCAATCTCACATCCATCAATTCCTTCATATGACACTTTATACTCATATAGTATATTACTTCTTCCATACCAAAATTTACTCGTGGCGGAAGAGTAATATGCATAATTTAATAAAGACTACAAAAAAAAAAAATAATAACGTGGCGAAAGTATAACACACGCAAATATAAAAAGAATTTACTCAAATCGTGACTACAATAAATAAATAATAATATTATATACCAAATCTAACCCCAATTTTATTAAAGTCCAACCAAAGAACTCTATATTCAGGTTAGGCTTTTTCTGCACATCGCGAATTTTCGGATGTTAATTTGTTGAATAACAGAAAAAGAAGAAGAGGAAATTTTTAATTCTGATACGTCTGTCTACAACATTTTTCTTTTAAAATTCCACAATTTATTTCAAAACCAATAAAAACCATAGAACAACAGTCTTTAAAATTTTACGTTTTTTTACAAAACCACTAAAAGCCATAGAACGTCATAATAATTATAGAATTCAATAAATCTCTTCTTTATTGTTATTTACAAAAATAAGCAGTTCAGTAGACAGAAGCAGACGCACTAGTTGATAGCGTCTGACGATACATCGGAATTCCACTGAATATTTGGCTGGTTTGTTATCGCTTCTAAACAATATTTGGAATAACCACATTTCCGTTTCCTTGCCTGCATCAAGATAAACTGCTTATCAACGTTTTTGCTTGGCTTTATTTAGTTTGTAAAAACTTTGTTGTTAAATTAGATAGAATGGGAGTTACCGGTCTTTGGAAACTTATAGATTCATGTGGTAAGCCCATTCCTGTCGAAAGCTTAGAAGGAAAAGTGTTGGCTGTTGGTAAGAATAAAATTAAATTAAAAATTATAAAATTAAAAAAATAAATTGGTTTCGATTATATTTTCTTCAGATATTTCCATTTGGCTGCATCAAGTTATAAAAGGATTTCAAGACAATAAAGGGGCTGCTCTGAACAATGCCCATTTATTGGGTTTGTTTCATCGTTTATGTAAATTACTGTACTATCGTGTGAAACCGGTTTTTGTATTCGATGGCTGTGTGCCGCAGTTGAAGAAAGAGACAATTGTAATCTTTCACACAGACCTTGTTTCGATTTTAATTAATTTTTTTGTACTTAAAGGCTCGTCGTCAACAACAACGCAGCAAATTAAATACGGAAGCTGAACGGATACAAGCTCTGTTACTGCAATCATTAGCCAAGGAGCAAATGGTCCAACAAGCTCTAGGGCCAAAGACAGCAGAACTTCTTTTAACTTCTCCACTTAAGAGAATAGCGCAAAGCAAAACTGCGCAAAAAAACGAGTCCGCCGATGACATGTTCAAATTACCCGATTTGCCATGCAATTCGGAGGATTCTCAAGATAGCTTTAACAATTCTTTAGACAAATCTGCTACGGATACGTCTGCTGACGATAGTTCGTTCGAAGAAGATTGTGCTCGCCGTAACTACAACACGAATTTGCAAACTTTAGATGTCCGTAGTCAGCATTTCCGTAGTTTGCCGGCTGATGTACGGCATGAAATATTGGTTGACATTAAGGAAACTCGGAAGCAGTCATCCTGGGGACGTTTGCATGAATTACCTTCGCGTAGTAACGATTTTAGTACATTTCAAATGAAGCGTTTATTAAAACGTAGAGATGTCCAAGTAAGTCTAGAAGAAGCTGAAAAACAAATGGGGGGTCGGACGCTTACCTATTCGGAATTAAGCAATATTTTCACAGAAGAAGGTATTTTAGAACCATCGATCGTAAATAAAGGTTCAAAGCAAGTGTGTTCGGATGAGCACACCCGTTTTCTGCTCGTCAGAGATTTGAAAAAAAAACTTTCTCAAGGTGAAAACGTTAAGGAGGAAAAAACAATAGCAGAGACAAAAGCGCTACAATCAGACGAACTTTTGCCAAGTACTTCGAAAACGGCAAAACCAAAAAGTGAAGCAGGTGATGATGATTATGAAACCGACTTACAAATGGCAATTGCTTTATCCCTGGTCGACACCACTACCGTCTACGACAAGAAAGATTATGAGTACGATTCTAGTGAGGCCTTGAAATTAAATAAGTCTCAACGTCAACAATTAAAACACGCTGCCAAAGGGCCAGCACGTTCTTATATGATTGAATACGGTGGTATGAATGATGATGAAGTTGTCGGTATTATGGACAAAACCCAAGATCAAAAAGATTTTGAAGATATTTTATTTATGGAAGACCATCCTTTCAAGTACGTTCCATACACTAATCTTGGGACCCTTTTTTAAATTAACGTATAATTTCAGTGGAAAAGGTGAGCAGATTGAAAATCATCACAAAAATGCAAATAATGAAAGCCAAGAGTTAAAACTTTATGTTAGCGATAATGAGTTTGACACAGATTCTGACCTGGAAGAGGTCCAGGAGGTAACAAATAGTAACGTAAAAGTATCAGGATTAAATATAGTCGTTAATATTAATGAATCGCTAGAAGCAGATAATGATTTTTTTAAAGATGTATTTGAAAATACAAATCTGGAAAAGGAGGAACACAAAGCTATCGAGAAAAATCTCATTCAAACTACAGAGAAAAAATGCATTTCTCTTAACGGAGAATTGGAGGAGGTAATAGAAGAAACGCCGCCTTTCGTAGACGTTGAAACAAAAAAATGTGACGTTGATTTTCAAATTCATGAACATTGCAATAAACATCTAATCGAAAAAGGGTTTGAGGCCAAAAATACTACGCTTTCAAAATGTATAAAAGCTGCTGAGTTGAATGGCGTTAAGTTAAGTGATAACGATGGCATCATAGAAATTAAAGATGAGGGTCAGTTGCCCATCCCCGAAAGCTTGAAAACCGAAATAATTGAAATTTACGATAGCGATGATAATAAAAAGTCCGTGGCACTTAGAACGCCAACACTGAAGACGCCCACCAAGAATTGTTCAATAACTGACTATTTTCAAGTCAATTATGCCATCAAAAGAACGCCCGAGAAAGAGCAAATTGAAGAAAGTGCTACGCCACACAAAGTGAAGTCACCGTTTTTTGTACGCAAAACGCCAAAAACAGACGGCAAAAATAAGTCTTCACCACTCGGCCCTAATTCCAGAAACGTCAGTAAAAATTTATTCGCTGCAGATGAAAATGGAAAAGATGGGCAATCCTTAAGCGAAAAAGTAATTTTTCCGATTTTTTGTGATTTCAACATTTAATACCAATATTTATTAAGAAATTTACAATTTAAGGAAATTATAACTGAAGCCGCCAAAGTTTTGCAAAGTGAAAAGACTTCCGAGGAATTGCAAATATTGGCTGCAAATTTCGCTCAAGAACGTAAAGATTTGGAAAATGAACGTAATCGTCAGGAGAGAATGGGCATGAGTATCACACAACGTATGAATTCCGAATGTCAGCAATTGTTACGTCTTTTCGGAATACCTTTCATTGTGGCTCCAATGGAAGCAGAAGCGCAATGCGCTTTCCTTGATATTGTGGATCTCACGCAGGGCACTATTACCGATGACAGTGATATTTGGCTGTTCGGTGGTCGCACTGTGTATAAGAATTTTTTTGCTCAGAACAAGCATGTTATGGAGTTTCGTGCAGACCAAATTAAACAAAATTTCAATTGTGATCGCTATAAATTAATACAACTTGCTTGTTTAGTAGGCAGCGATTACACGACAGGTAAGTCTTGAAAGTGCAAGGAAGATAAGAGACTATTAACAGTATTTAGATAATCTAATAATTCCACACACACTTACGAGACTCTTATGCACATCCTTTGCGAATTTAGGAATTGAAATACGGTACTGATAAGAAAGCATATACGCTTCTAAAGGGCATATGAAATGAATAGTTAATTAAGGTTTATGGTTTAAAAGATCGTTGTCGTATTACTAAAAAATTGTGTCGCATTAAATGTGAATTAAATTTGATTTTTATTTAAGGTATACATGGAATAGGAGCCGTTACCGCTTTAGAAATATTAGCTCAATTTTCTTCGGCTAAAGAGATTTGCAACGAGTTGAAGTCAAACAATTCGAATAATATGCAACTTCTTTTATCAACATTACAAAAATTCCGCGATTGGTGGCAATCTTTCAAACATCATGCAGCACCACCTGGAAGTTCTGCCCGTTTCGCTTTGCAAAAGAAGCTGAAGAATATTGAATTGCAAGAAGGTTTCCCAAATATTAAGGTAAAAAGGGTGTATTTTTTTAGTATACCTAACCGTGCAATATTCTGTATTACCCTTAAGGTTCTTGAGGCCTACATAACGCCGACTATTGATGAAAGTCAAGAAACATTTACTTGGGGTGACCCGGATATCGAATCTATACGCGAATTCGCTCGCCAAACTTTTGGATGGACGGCTGAAAAAATTAATAATATATTACATCCGGTTCTAAAAAAATTGAAGGAGAAGAAGACCCAAACTTCTATACGTAATTATCTTACGATTAAAAATGCGTTAAGTGTAAAACAAGTTAAAGTTAGCAAACGTGTACAAAGAGCAATAGAAAAAATGAGCGGGGCTGCTATAGATTCTGACGATAACTCAGATAAGCGCAGCAAAACAAAAAGATCTAAAAATAGTAAAGCCTCCAAAGCGAAAAAATCTGCAACAAACGATAATAATAACGATTTTTCCGAAGACAAAGTTGTAAAGCAGACCGAGGACACAGCACGTGGTCTTATAAAAAGAGCTCAAAAGCGCAAAGAGGTGATTCCGCAACGTGAAAAAGATTTACAACAAATGGAAGCTAACAAAAAATTAGCTATTGAAATCATAAAAAACTCGAAAGACGTCCCAACAAAGAAACGTAAATCGTAATTCATCACAGTAAAAAGACCGTTGTTCATTCACTTTGCATGCTTTACTTTAAGAAACCAAAATGTTTTTACATTGATTATTCAATTTGAAATGCTTGCAAGTAATTATTGCGACTACCTACAAATATTCGTTTACCATTAGAGGCACTGCAGGGGGTGGAGAAGATTTCTGCTTCTAAATTATAGGAGGAATGCTGGAGAGCGGTTTTGAGATTTGCCAAAATCATTAAACCGTTTGTAGCGCATATCAAAACGTCGGGTTCGTTGTCTTGAGTCCGGTATAGCAATATTGGTGTAGAATATATCGGAGCATCTAAAGAAATTTTCCATGTCAATGACAATTTGCAACTTGTTGATGTGAAATTTAAACAGTAAACGTTTTTGTCGTAGCATCCGAATATTAGATAAGTGTGCTTAAGGTCTTGATTATGAACAGCAAAACTTGAAAATATGTTTCCATCCGCTGTAAAGGTAGATATCTAAAAGTAAACATGTGAGAAACAGGTTTATTCGAATAAGTCCTTAGGGAATTACTAAAGAGTAAACTTACAGTTTGCCCACTTTTCGCCTCACATATTGAAATTTCGCCGCGCACTTCTGCTATTGCTATCCAAGATTGCGTTGAAGATTTTACTAAAGCAGGAGTTGAAAATATAGGAGATTTCATTTGATGGGACCAAACCAAGGAACCATCATCACTTCGTAGTAAACAATAAGTGCCGTCTAAAGTGCAAATTAAGCACAACTTTTCATCAACTTTCAACGGAGAAGAGAAAATGCCTTTAGAACCAATTTTTAAACGCCATTTTGTCGTAACATCCTGCAATTGAATAGTAATGGAAATTTGTCCTTCTTGCCTGTATGTATACTTTATTACCTTTAAAGAAACTGCCAAAAGATTAAAATCTTCAGCATAACTAGCCACCACTAGTATATCGGATATTTGTAAAGGTTTCGCTTTAATAGTGCCGCCAACATTTGTACGCCATTTGATACTGCCTTGTTGGAAATCGAAGGCATATAAGAAACCATCATGAGCGCCAACCATAGCCAATTGATTCGTTACAAACAGCACAGAACTTTCGATTCTATCCATAAGTGTTAATTTGGAAATTTCCTCGCCATTGTTAGCATTTAATACCATTAATAGATGAGAATGCGAGCCAACTGCAACAACATTTTCTTCATACAATGATGGACTAGCATCTACGCATTTATGCAAATTTACTGACCAGACAAGTTTAAATAAGTTTCGAGTGAATGGTAATGTCGCTGGCACTTCAATTCGTCTTTCAGCTAAGTTACTTAAGAATTTCATGATATCGTTTATTGTCACATTGGTATTCAATAACATTTCTAATAGATTACGTTGATCAACAGACTGCGGTAAAATACTATCAATTTCCGTAGCCAAACTTAGGGCTTGAAATGACGTACCTCCAGCATGGCTAAAACTTAAATTTGTTGTCAATTTAGAACGCTTTGTTGTATATTCTCCGATGTCTTGTATATTATTAGTTAGCATTTCCTCATTAATACCCATAATATTTTGTAAGAATTCTTTAAAAATTTGTAACGGAGTTTTGTGCTCTTTCTCTTCCCAAGCCTTAACGATTTTTATTAACTGAAAGCGATTTACTTTACCATGAGCTGTTAGAGGCACTTTTTGGAGATTATAAATTTTATCAGGTTGCTCAAAAGTATCCAAACTATCTCGTAGCAATTCTTGCAATAGAGGACCTTTCACAATAGATTCAGTTTGACCAATTTCTAGGCATAAGATGAGTTTTTTAACTTCTTCATTCCAAAGACACAAAACCCTATTTGTAATATTTCCTTTGCGGAAAATGTTTTCAATCTTTTGTGATAAGGAATCTGCAAAAGAAATAGAAAAATAAGTAAAAACACTAGTGGCCAACGCCCCGATCAGTATAAGAAACGGCTGGCCTATCCCAAGTATATCTTGGCCTTACATTCATTCAAATATATTTAGAAACTTAACAACAATTTAACTAAACTTCGCTTTATAAGAGCTTACTATTTGGAAAACAATAAATTGCCCTATGTAGTACAAATTTGGTATGGTTAGTCAAACTACTACTATGATGCCATTCTTAACGTGAAATATTAAAAATTATACCATTCTTGTTGATTAGCCGCAATAGCTGTGTTTGACAACGTTTGTTCTGGGGCCAAAATACGTTAATGTACCACATTTTGTTAAAATATCTCAAAAATTTGCGATCTACAACTTTAACATAAAAACACGTAGACGAGAGTCAGATAGATTGACGGACAGACAAGATTAGACCGATTAGAGTGTAGTCACAAATTTCGATATACATTTGAAGACTAGAGTTTGTGTACATTTAGACAACATGGCATATATCCAATCCAATCCAATGTGCATTCCAGAAGAAAATAACGTTTTCTAATTTTTTGTAATATTTGTAAACTTACCCAAACATAAACGTTTTCCCAAACGTTTAACAGTGTTATCAAGCCTTCCTAAATAATAGACGTTGCCATCACTAGCGCGTTTTACAAGGTCGCCTGTATTACGAAATGTAATCGAATCCTCTTGACGAATTGGAATTGGGTGCTGATCACACTGTGGGACATAACAACGTCTAGTAGTACTACAAATTTGCAATTCACCGACAGCGGCATCATCTGCCAAAACTTTTCCTTTTTCATCAACTATTCGTAAAACAGTTTCATTATCCAAAGCATCACCGAGAGGAATGCTGCATTCAGTCGAGGAAGAACTATGAAAGTTTACTTCGCAGATGGTGCTCCAACACGATACTTCGGTTATGCCATATATATTAAAAACACGTTTGTTAAACAGTTGATTAGTGGTTTGGGGTAGCCAGTCCAAAAGTTCCGCGTAAGATGGAAACTCCTCGCCGCCTAAAATCAGACATCTGAAAATTTTCCATTATTTCATTGCTATGAACTGCTATTCCCTTACCTTAAAGTATTCGTTTTATCAAAAATTACATTTCGTATTATTTCCTTACCAAACAATCGAAATAGACTGGGTGTTGTTTGAAATATGGAGACTCCTTTTAATCCAAAAGGAAGGGAAGGAAACAATACATGATGTAAGTGATTTGGGGACAAACGCGTCTTGGTTGAAGTAATGAGTAGAGCAGCACCATTTGCTAAAGCCAAAAACAACTCAATCACAAATGGATCAAACGTAATCGGTGAACCAAGAAATATAACATCACTTGTCTCAATTTTTAATAAAGAGCTGAAAAACAAATTATATTCGATGTGTACGAAATTTTTGAATTTGTAACAAAACTCACCTCAAGCTTGCAATGTTTGGTTGTATACATTTGTAGGGAACATGAACAAGTTTTGATTCACCTGTGCTGCCCGAAGTAGCTATACTGTAACATAATGGTAAATTTTTGAGGCTTAACGTTGATGTTTTTAATTTTATGACGAAATAGCTCGAGTTCAAAACATTCAATTTAGGTAAATAACACTGATAAATTTCCTCAAACTCCACAGGCTTTTTGAGGAACACGTATGCAATTTCGCTTGATTTTACACTACGATTCAGAGAGCTGTCACTTTCGTCGTTAAATCCATAGAATCGACAATCATTGTTAAGTATGCTGTAACAAAAGTAAAACTGGTCATTGTCATAATTATAATTTATTTAATCTTGTATGCTCCTTTTGTAATTTTAAATGTTGCAAACATACTATGATCCTTTTCGAACTGTTTAATGAGATTCAGAGTGTCTCGGTAATCACAAAAATACATACATACTCTACGTTATCTTTAACAATGTAATCGAAATAAGGAACAAATGCTCATTTTTCTGTCGCGGATGTAAAGAAGCCATTCTTCAAACATTCTCCGATGTCAGAAGAGTTAATATTTATCATAAGTGGATATTGTTTTTTTCGTTTTTATGATGAATACTGATTTAGTATTGCGATCAGCGAAGAAGCATTATAGCAATTATTACTTATGAAATATTAAAAGTAACTTGCCTTAGTAGTAACACGCATCCCTCTACAGAATTTTCGGGCATATGTATCCCAATACCGACCTTCTTTTCTATGGCGTGCTGATGAAAGTATTCTAATACTTCGTCCACAGCTTTTAAAATGTTTTCGTAACTAAAAACTTCTTCGTTGTTTTCATCAAAACGTTGATAAATAAAAATGTTTTTACAAAATTTTCTTAAATTTTTAATTTCATAACACTTCTCTTCCATTATTATTTTATACGATATTACCATCGCGAGAAAATAAATTTACTTTCAGATTGTAAAATTCGATGACATTCTCGATAACTATAAAATCTGTGCGTCAAAAGCATTTTATTTTAACATGCCAGCACTATCTCGCTAGACTAGACGTCTGCAAATATATCCCAAAGAAAAAAACTTGTTGTTTTCCTCATGCAGTAAATTTCTAACCAATTTTCTCGGTAACAAACTCGGTTTCCTACCTGATGACTGCGAAGTTGTGGAAGTAATGCGCTGTCACAAATTCGACCAACTCCCGTGCGATTTTGGACACAATCCGTATAAGTTTTCCCAGGAATGTTTCCCCCTCACACATCTGTTTGGAAGGTAATAACTTTCCGATTAAAGTCTATGTCGAGGCAATATTACAATGACGCAAATGTTGTCGTTTCGGCCACGTAGATAATATATGTTCACGTCAAAAATCGGTTTGTCTTTCCCGTCGTACAAGCCAAGCGCCTCGTCGTCCTCAAAATGCCAAAAAAATGCAAGAGCAGATTATCCTTTTAACTCTAAAACTTGTCGATCGTACAAGAAAGTTGCTACATCCAAAAAAAAAACGAAGCGGGACGTCTTAAGCCACACGTCTACTCCTTCTCTCGGAATACTTACACACACCCAATAAATCAAATTTCTGTCGAGGGCTTTCCTAACTTGTCTCCATCGATTTGTCAACCAAAAATCAAACGGCCAAACACTGTGTCTGCTGTCTCAGTTCAAACAAAGAAGATGGTAAGTTCTGAAATCACCATCTTCCTTTCCAATATAAAACCTTCAATACCTGAGACTGTGACACCGCATCACGGACAATCTTCCGTCCGATCACGAAATGATCACTGATTCTACCACTTCCTCTAACTTATTTCAGATCTCTGATGGTATTCAAAAATTACATAATATCAAGCCGTCCAGTAAATCGAATTCTATTTTTAACTCCGCCAGACATTTATCTCGCGACCTTCACAACAGTATTTTTAACCAACGACTCCCTTCGTCTTCATAGTTCTATTCTTTTTCAATCAATAATGAAAATAGCTCAATTTAATTGCACTAGCGAATCCGTAGCGAATTAAAACAGCTTGAACACTCATTGCAATGAAGGTATTGAATCCCCGGTGTCTGTCTTTCTACAACCCTTCTATTAAGAATTACAACATAGATTTGATCGTATCTCCAACTTCTCTCATGGTGGTGGAGTGGCGGTCCTTATATCTAACATGACTTCATTCTCTTACGCTTCTAACTTTGCAAATTGTTTACCTATTGAAGCTTAAAGCAGCACCATTCACACTTCCTTTGGGTAACTCTTGATCATTGGTTGTTATACTCCACTTAATTGTGGTGTTTCCGATTCTGCAACGAACAGGTTAGCTTTTTTCAGATCCGACATGTCTGCATTAATATGTGGTGATTTTAATGCTTACAATGTTTGTTGGGGTAATCGCTTCTCCAATTCCAAAGGCGGACAAATTCAAGATTTTCTTGAAAGCAATAAATTAGTCTTACTAAATAATGGTGATCCTACTCATTTTGCTTCTTATTGCATAAATCTTTCGATCTGTACACCTAATCTAAGTTCACTGAGTACCTGGACGACCCTTAAGGACACCATCGTCTAATCAAAATTGGTCTTCATTTGCACCCTATTACCGTTGCCATAGTATGTTAAACCCGCTCCCAAGTATGTTAAACCCTCTTTGCTTACTTCCCTAAAATTAGTTTACGATCCGTAGCATTTTTAAAACCATCCCAACGGATGATCGACGATTCTTCGGGTTGTTTCTTTGATAGGTTCTCAAAGTTTTTTACTGATGCTACGAACCAAAAGTTTGCTAAAAAATCCTACCCTCCTAATACTTTGTGGAACACCGCATGCGGTATCACTTCCTCTCGTTGTTGCGAATTGTGGCGTTATATAGGAGATAAGAATGAAGTCCAAATTAACCGAGTTGTTAGTTTTCTTTTTCTACTTATTAAAGCGATACTTTAAGGTGCTAACTTTTATTTTACTTTCAAAAAACGGTTACAAATCAAATTTATGTTTCAATTTTTAGGGGGAAATCCCATCATGTAAAGCAAAGTAGGTGATAGGGGTTATAGAAAAACTATTTAGCTATTGTTAAAAATTAACATTAAATTTGGAATTTTGGAAAGCAAAGTACTTACACTGTTAATTTATTTACATTAAATTTATATATTTATTTATATTTATTTTCCAGATTTTTTACTGGATCATCTTGAAGTATATCATTAATTTTTGATAGCAAAGTGTCGAGATCATCACCCACATTTCTTTCATCATTGGTGGAACTTATAATAGAAGTTAACGAATCTAACTTATCACTGTTTACATTTGTTGGATTGGGGGCAACAACTGTTGCACCAATATTATCTGACGAACTAACATCATCACCCGCCAATAAAACATCTTCTAACTCTGCACTAACCGGTACATCTAAATCGTTATCGATACCAATTAGAGAAGAAACCACATCATCGGTAATCGGAGAAGATTTTTCTAAGAGTTGAAAAAATATGAGTCGTACATAAGCTTCTCGGATCCGATAAAATTCCTCTTATTCCCAATGACTTTTGACAAAATCATCAAACTAAGGAACATATTATACCGATTACACTTTCTGAATTTCGATATAAAACTAATATATTGTAATTCTTCACTTGTTTTTCAATAAAGCCGCTTTATATTTACCGACAGCGCACAGTATCAGTAGTTGAAAGCGGCTTTGAAAGTTACTTAACTCAAGGGTAAGGAGAATTATAATAGATTTTATGGACCAACCTCTGCTTTTGAATCTGACCGTTATTCCAAAATAAGCAGATTTGGAAACTATTTTTTATTCGCAACCGTAACTCGCCCAAGACCTACTACTTTCAAACATATTATATATTTAATTTCTCCCTTTTATATATTCTTCATATCTTTTCATTTGCTGGCGTACTCATCACTAAGTTTTCCCATGCGAAACTTCGAGACCAATTTTTCAACATACAGCATTTTAAAATTGTTTAATCGATTCAATAATTGATTTGCTTACTTCATTTTTCTAGACTACTATTAATAGCTAAGATTAGTATTTCCGACAAATTCAAAAAATAGGTGGTGCCGATGGAAATAAAAAATGGGAATAATAAAATTTAAGAAAAATAAATAAAAAATGAAAAAATGAACTTTTATATATATATCTATAGATGTATAAATATACACTGGATTCTTCACATATACATGTAATTAATTGTACATACAAAACATATATATACGTAAGTATATAGGTATATACGTATATGTATATATACACATATGATGTATATATATGTATATATATTTTGTATATGTAGGTATATATGTGTATAAAGCACATATACACATACATACATATATATATATTTATATATACATCTAAGTGTATGCATCTATGAATGTACATATGTATATATAATTTATATACGGATGACTCGTGTATATACAACAAGTATGTATGTTTTCCTGTATTCGATTAGATATTTGTATATATATATAACATGTAGGCGTATATAACAGTAGACTTTGCCAAACAAAATCATCCGATTTTCGCAAATGTCCGCGTTAACGAATACGATCCACAATGGAATTTCTGACCAAATCGGATAAGAGAGGCTATACTTTAGGTTAAATAATTACTAATTACAAATATTCATTTATTTTTTCCAATTTTTTACTTACTTTGGGAGGTCTACTATCTACTATCTCTTAATTCTTACCATATATTCGTACAAGTGCTTGAAGTGCTTGAAATA